CAGCAGGATGTCAAGACTGAATTTCTTAGGCTTTTTAGGTGGAATTCACCAAGAAAAAGAAAGATGTTTGAATATTACTCTTTTCCATTAATGTTCTCTTTGCACTCTTGAAGATACAGTGCACGTGTGTGTCTGTATGTATGTATTTTTCACAGACTTGTTGGCCAGGGCCGCTGTCTATACTAATAGAAAGTGCATAGAAGAATAAGCCAGAATTTCCCATGAGAAGTGCTGGCTTCTTTCAACCGAAGAGTAATCGTAGCTGAAAATGCTGCAGATGTGGCACTGAACAACATCAAGGAAAGCCTCAAAGGTGGCCCTGAAAGACAGGAGGTGGGGGATTCTGAGAATTTCTTGGCAATAACATTCAAGCACTATTTTTCTTTGGCATAAACTGTTCCTGTAACACCTTTTACAAGCACTGGAAATATGCCACAATGTCTGCATCTTTCCAGGTCTAAGAGAGGCAGACCAGGCTTTTTTAAGGGAGTGATCTCATATTTGCAAGCAGGACACTGAGCATGAGTCACTGCAGCACCTTAAAGCTGGCAGCATGTTGCAGTGGAAGTGGTCGTCTGACTTGAGAATGGAGTCTTGTCTCGTGTCTGCCCATCACCAATGTGTGTGTCTCGTATTGCTCATCTGTCTGGCTGAGATTTTTTTTGTTCACTAAAAGTCATCGGAGTTCTCCGAACTGTGAATTTTACTACAACACTGCAGAGGGCTTTGTACTTGTGATAAACTTCTCCTTCTTTAGAATCTTTTGGAGAATCTCCAGAATGGAGTTCTCAACAAGGTATAAACAGAAAGACCGAGAATACTTTTGGAAGCCTTGTCCAAGGGGCCTGTCCTGCAGTACTTTGAGTGCTAGCCTTTCTGAATCTTCTCCACTGCCCACGTCACAGTTCTTCGTGGGGTGGCAGAAAGCCTGTATGGATTGGTCTGTCTTAGGTCTTGGCTCAGCAAAACCAGATTCGTTGGCCCAAAGTAAATGCCAGCAGGTGGTTTCCCTGAGTTTAGAGTGGAACTGACCCAAAGAAAAGAAGAAAATGAAAGTCCTGGCGGTCACCCAGCTTGTGTTCCTCTTGTGTGGCAATGTGTCAGCTCCAGTCCATGTCTGGGGCTGGCCCTGCAGCCCTTGCAGAGTGTCTGGCAGGACCGGGAGAGGTGGGTGCAGTGAGACCTTAGAGACTCCCTCAGAGACCGCTCAGCTGTGAAGTGGGGCACTGCAGCACCGCCAGTTTTGCTTAGAGTACAAATAAAAGTCTGGTGTGAGCATTGCTGCTGGCTCTGCCTGTCCTGCTGCACCGAGCGATGGGAGCGTATGGTTGAGCTTCAGGAAAAGACACTCTGCTCATGGATGACTTTGCTTTGTCCTTGTAGGATTGTGAGCACCCAGCTGCCACCTCCTCTCACTGCCAAAGTTCTCCTCCAAGGCAATGAGTCTCCAGGCCAGGTATGCTGCTAAACACGTTCCTTGCATGCAGATACCTGCTTGTAAGGATGTGGTGTGGGAGCTCTTGTCACATAGATCTTATGTGTGCCGTTACTGGGAAGGACAAATATTGATCCTGATGCTGAAAGCTTTTATTAGGTATGATTGAGTAAGGGTTCAAGACTTCTGCACTAGCAATTTGCTTTTTGGGGGGGGGGTCTTTAAGTTACTGAATTCTTGAGTTCTCGTCTGTGTGATGTTTTGATTAGCTTTTTACCCAAGTTTAGGTATTTAGTGCTAAATACACAATAAATGTCTGAAAGTGACAAATAGATCAATTTTTATTTGCATTAAAACTTGTCAAAAGTAATTATTTATGTGGTTCAAGATCTTCTACAAAAGAGCCATCAAGATCCAGATGTGAAGAAGGCCTCTGCTCCTACTCTGGTTGAGTGGACCAAGTTTTTGTGCCCTGAGCAGGCAGTAATGGCAAATTGTGGTCTTTGCCCTTGCTTTCAGGTGTATTTTGGTTCTTGGGAAGTCCCCTTGGCTTTGAGGACTACCTAAGGAACAAATCACTGCCCAGCATGGTAAACCAGTCACAGCATTTGCTGAAGGGGGTGGTCTGGGGTCTGCTGTAGTCACAGGGAGGCTGAGGAAGCTGGAAGAGATGTCCTGGTGGCACTGGTGGCAAGTGTTGTGTCATGCCATAGAGCTGATTCTTGGCTTTTCTTTCAGAGTGAGCCTGGAGGTGAGGAGCAGCAGGAGCCTGGTGAGCATCCAGCTGCAGAGTACTGGTTGTCAAGTGCACAGCAGCAGCAGATGGGCAACCCGCTGGGACTGCATTCTCTGCAGTGAGAGCGTGAGCTGGTTCTCTGGGATTCGCATCAAAGCTCTTGCTGGATGCAGGAGCAGATCCCTGAGGGTGTTGCTGCTGCTAGTCAGCATGTGCCAGGGGGTGTTGGGTAGTCAGAACTAGTTCCTTCCTTTGGCCACGCAAAGGAGTTTCTCTTTTGGGTTTAATTGTCAGTTCTGCAGATTCCCAACACGCCTGCTTTAATTCCAGTTACCCATGTGCCTACTTGGCCACTGACAGAGCCCTGAAAACAGATGGCTGATGCTTTCAGTCCAAACCTTCAGTCATCGTTTTTGAGCATCAGTTTATAGATATTCTGCCAGGATGGTTAGAAAAAAAAAAAAACACTAAGGGAAAATTTAACTGTGTCAGGCATTAAAAGTGTATGAGGAGATGGGAAAAAGCTGCCTAGTCAGACGTAGTCAGTTTGTGGTGACCCAGAATACAGGATGATAGCGTGCCTTCTCCTGCAGAAGCCTTTGGGCTGATGGAGTTTGGCTTCTGTTCTTTATGCTGGGGCATGTTAATTTAATCCTCAAACCTCTTTTGCTCTTGCAGATTCTCCATTGCCGCAGGGTGTCTGTATCATTCCGGTATTCCTAACAGAAGATGAAGTCTTAGTGCTCCGAGACTTTCCAGTGGAGTGGATGACTAGGTAGGAAATCAATTTGACGCATAGAGAGACTTTTGCAGCAAGGGAGCTAAGATGTGATGCTGTGTCCTTGCTAGCCGTTGTTACTGTTTTCTCTGATGCTAACTCAGACTCTGTCATCTGGCTGTTAAAGCTGCCTGAGGTCTTTCAGGCTGGACAGAATTTGCAGTGTCTGTATCTCTATTGTGAAGCAGCCTAAAGCAGAACTGTTTCCCAAGACCAACTGTGATCTTCTGAGGTTTCTCAGCTCACAGTGCTGCTTAAAGCCTTTGTGCTTTGTAAACAAGGGAGTGATGTTTCCAGAAGTCTGCAGTGTAAAAGGCTCATGCTTTTCACCTGTGTTAGACCTTAGCCCATCCTTTTCCGAGGTAGATGCTCTTTGTAGCAGAGAATAGATCAGCTATTGAACACTACCAGGAGGTGGTAGTGTTACTAGGTATGTAATAACTCCAAACAGATCGTACTCAGTAGTTTAATCAACTTGTCATCTCCTGCTAGGTCATCTGTGTCCCCAGCAAGCCCTAGAGGAGAGAAGAATGCTGTCTGCTCCCAGGCAGTTTCAGAATCAATGGGAGTTCATGAAAACCAAGACATGAATAATATTTCTGTGCAGGAGTCCCCTGAGCAAGCTTCAAGCACAGCTGCACCAGAAGATGCTGTTCCATCAGGCAGCCTTGCAAACACTGGTCCTTTGAAGGGCTTCCCCGAAATGGAAGCCAGTACCAAGAATTCTCCAAGGGCAAAACTGAGTAGACCAGACAGCAAAAGCTCAGAGCTCAGTAGAAATGTGTCCTTCCCATCAGAGAGACAGATGAAGCAGCTGCTGAGCCCTTCCACACTCCATACTGCTGAATATGCTCAAACTATAGGTCGATATCTGGAAGGATTTTCTTTTCCAAACCCTTATGCCAGGGAGCAGGAGAGTCAGAACATGGGGAAATCCCTTGCGGACTCTGATGTTGAGCAACGCAGTTTCCAAAGTTATCATGCAGCCAGTGACAGTTCAGCTATTTGCTCTCCTGCCCGAGAGTTGAGCAGAAGGAAATCAAGTGAGCAAGATGAGCAAGGGACTATGAGCCAAAATAGCATCTCTGGAGAAAGCCGCGGTGCAGCTGATGGCAATGGGTGGGGTTTGGATTGTCCAGCCACTGCTGCACAATCAGAGCTCCAAAGCAGGAGGCAGCTGCCAGCTGTAGAGGTCCAGGAGAGTCTGCCCAGTGGCCCAGCAGAGAACACGCACTGTCCCAGGAGCAGGGAGCGTGGCTGGCCACCTCAGGTGGATGGTCTGGCAGCCCAGGCTGGCGTGGAATCAGGCAAACAGTGCAAACTAGTTAAGATGAGCTTGTATGTTCACTGCGTTAAGGGGCTTGTGCTCTCTCTTCTGGCTGAAGATGACCTCCGAGAGGACCAGAGCTCCATTGAAGATGTGGTAAGTGGGAAAGCTCCTCCACATCTGCAGATACACTCACTGCTGCTTGTCTGGTAGTGGTGCTGGGGCCAGGGGTTACAACCGAAGAACAAGCTTTGGATCTCGCTTCCCGTTTCTTTCCTCACCTGCTCTGTGTTGTGCAAGCCAAAGCCATTTGGCTTAGGGTTCGTCACCACAACCAAAGCTACGTGGGAGGTTGTTCGCGAACGTCAGGCAGCGAGCCCGAGAGGTGAGAGCGTTGTCTCACAGGCGACTCCTGTTGCCTGTTGTTGTCTGGCGGTGCCAGCGCCGGAGCAGAACGTGTAGGTGTGACCGTCAGACAGCCCCGCGGGCTGCCAAAGGCCGGTGCTGGATTTGGGATTTGTTGGGCAACTCTGTCAGTTTTGTAGTGCTTTTTGGAAAGCAAGGTTTGTTCTCTGTTTAACCTCCACTTTGCATGTTACAGCTTCTCACTCTGGAAGCACCAGCCAGACGTGTCTGGCAGCAAGTCCCCAAAGTGTTTCCTTTCTGTGTGAAAGTCTGGCTGTCTGAGGCCCCAGCCTGCTCTCCCTGGCGCTGCTTTCCAAGGGTCGGAGCGCAGGGTGCCATTTAGGCACTGCAAATAGGTGCTGTACCAGAGCAATCCCAAATTACTCTGCTGTGGGATTTGCTTCGGTGCACAGGCTTCCCTGCCAAGCGGCGCGGTGTGGCTAATGGGGCTGCGGGGGAAGGACGTTTCCCGGTGAAGCATTAGTCTGCAGAGCTGCTGCCTGGCCTCTGCCTCCCTACCAGGAGCTGAGTCAAAGCTGCAGAGGCCTGTTTGATATGCCAGTTGCCATAGGAACAACCTAATTTCTTTAACCGTCAGACTGGAAGGTGGAGGAAAGCTCAGACTAACGCTAGCTCCCAGCATTAGCAAAGCCTCAAGGTTACTCCTTTTCCTTCTGCGCTCTGGGACTCGGGGGCTGTACCTGTGACCCCCCCCAGCCCCGTAAGCAGGGGGATGCCAGCTCCGCATGGCATGGGAGGGTTGGCATGCCTGGGAAGGGATTACTGTCAGCAGAGGCCAGGAGGTGCAGCCTTGGCCTTTTGTGCCAGACATGACACGCTGCTCTGTCTCTTTTCTGCTTGTTTTGAGGAGGCAGCTGCACAACATCTCCTCCTCTACCATGTCTTCTCCGGCAGGGGGGAAAGGGGGAGATACAGGAACTTGTGCTCCCAAGAGCTGAAGGTTGTCTCTATTGCACAGGTACCCTCAGCTTCTCTGAGCTTCCTCCGGTTGCGGCTCTGGGCGGGCTGGCTGGCAGCGCAGCGGTTCCCGACAGCCGTGCGGCACCCGTGACTGGAAACCAGTCTCGTCTCTGCTTCAAGTCTGACCTGCCATGAGAAGGAGCATCCGAAGGATATAGCTAGCGTGTGAAATGCCTTGTTGGGGGGGTTAGCTCTGCTAGTGACACATTGCATGTCCTCCTCCCATCAAATGCCTGGGCAAGGCCCGCAGTGGGCCCAGCCTGGTGCAATTTGTCATTCAGTTCATTAAGTCTCAAGATCAACTGCCTGACACTGGTGCACTGCATTTCAGTCGATTTTTTTCTTTATGTATTGCCCCGGGGTTGACAAAGCCCTTTTCCATTCAGGTTCCTCTTTTCCCAAACACGCTGCTTCCATCTCATATGCTCTTGCTTTGGATCTCATCTTAGCAAAACCGTACTTTCACACAGCGTGGATTTTGCCTGCGATTGAGTTCTTCTGACTACACCCTTCCTCTGGGTGCAGGTGTTTGTTATCTCTTGGGAGAGATATGCTACGTGTCCCATCATCCTAGAAGGAAGAGTGATGTTCGAGGAGGTAGGGCTGGGCTCTGCTCCTGGCATCATGGTGGATTTGAGGCGTTAACCTCAGCTTCTCTGTTCCTTTGTTTATCTGTAGATTAAAAATGACCCTCAGCTCTCGGGGATGTCAAAGCTGAGTTATAATTAATGTTTGTCGAATGCTTTGAGGCCCCTGAATGACACCAAAGCAGGGTAAAATATGCTGCTGGTGCAGCTGAGAACGGCAGGCAGTACCGATCGTCGCTCTGGGAGGGCGGTTTCCAGTGCAGGCTTTCCCTGTAGAGCAGGAGGCTTTCAGGCTCGCCTCCTGCCGCTCCTTACGTCTTATCCCTTCAGTTCACTGCACAGAAAAGAAAATCTGTTCCGTGACCAGGGGAGGTCAAGGTTAGGCCAGACACTGCCATCCTGCTGC